GGGCCTCCCCTCCCTCGCGGTCTGCCCCGGGGCCGCCCCCTCCCTCACGGTCTGCCTGGGCCGCCGCCCCTTCCTCCGGGTCTCCTCTGAGGCCGCCCCCCACCCCCTCTTCGTGTCTCCCCTGGGGCTGCCCTTTCCTCACATTCTCCTCCAAATGCCAGCGTCCTCAACAATTATCTGATCTGGAACCTGGTGCAGAAGACAACCTCCAGCCTGGACCGGCGCTTTGAGTCTGCACAAGAGAAGCTGCTGGAGACCCTCTATGGCACCAAGAAGGTGGGCTCTCGGACTCTACCCCATTTGCTGGTCCAGCCTAGTTGATGCTTCACACCTACCATGGGCCACGTGCCATTCTGTCTCAGGGTGTAGTTGGAGCGCAGGACTTGGAATCAGCCTACTTGGCTTCCAGCCTCAGCCCCTCCAGTTTTTCAGTCTGTGGGACTTTGGGCGTGTTACCTAGCCTCTTCTACTCCCCGTTTCCTGGTCTGTAGAACAGGAATACTCTGTGGTGGTGTCATGAGGATTAACTGGGTTAATGTAAGTTGAAGCACCTACCCAGTGTGTGATCTGCATAGGCAGCCAGCTTTGATGAGGACAGTGAAGCAGATGGTGACTGAGTGGTGCCGTTCTTAGTTTCAAGATGCCCCATTAAGTGGGGGAGGTGGACGTGTAAACAAACCCACTACATTTTGGGGTGATGGGTAATCTCACTGAGTGAAAGACTTTCTTTGTGCTATAGGACACAGGTGCGTACAACATAGGAAGGGCTTCCCTGAGGAGGTGACATTTGAAAAATGAGTTCACCGGGAAGGCAGGAGAGAAGGGCATTCCAGGCAAAAGGAACAGAATGTGCAAATTTCTCGAGGCCAGACAGAGCACGGTGGCTTTGCTTGTGTTTGCTCAGTCTGAGCGTGGGCACAGGGCAGCAGAAAGGCTGAGGTTGGAGAGGTGGGCGTGGGGCAGTCCATGAAGAGAACTGAATGCTCTGCTAAGAAGGTGGGCCTTTCAGGGATGGGAACCATGAGGTGCTTTAAGCAGAGAGTACCATGGCTAGGTTTACGTATTAAATGGTCTCTCTGGCGGCAAGCGGAAGAGAGTGGGGGACCTGAGAATGGAGTCAGGGTGTCTAGTTAGAAGGCATCTGCAATCTTCAGACAAGAGGTGATAGTGATCTAGGGCAGGACAGTGGCAATGGGGTGGACAGGAGAGATTATTTTGATGCCGGTGTACATATAGACTGAAGCCCTGGTGGCGCAATGGTTAAGAGCTAGCTTGCTAACTAAAAGGTCGGCAGTTCGAATCTACCAGCCGCTCCTTGGAAACCCTATGGGGTAGTCCTGCTTTGTCCTGTAGGGTCGCTGTGAGTTGGAATTGACTCAACAGCAACAGGCTTTTTGGTTTGGTACTTACAGAAATTGGTGATGGATTGAATATGGGGTTAGAGATGGAGCAAGCTGGGAGGACTCCCAGGTTTCTGGTGCGGGGAACTGGCTGTAAGACGGGGATGTGGAACTGAGCAAAGAAACTTCTGGACCCTGCTGGGCCTCTTAGAAACGTCATTGGAGGAGAGCACTGAGAAGAGCTGGCAGCACATTTGTTCTCCTGAGGTCTCGCTGCTGGTGTGGCATGCTGAGACATTGCCCTTCATTTTCCTGGGAGGCCGAGGGAGAGATGGCACCCCAACCCCAGAGCCGAGAGGGGCTAGCCCCAGAGACAGAAAGGCCTTCCGACCGGAGGACAGAGCTGGCTCTGAGAAGCCTGGCCCTTTGTCCCCTGACAGTCCTGCACGCCCAGGTGGCAAACCTGCATCTCCAACACAGATGACGCCCTTGGCTTCGCTCTGGGCTCCCTCTTCGTGAAGGCCACATTTGACCGGCAAAGCAAGGAAATCGTGAGTCTCCAGGCGTCTTCCAACAATAACCCTTGTTTTGTTTAAAATTCACTGTTCATTTATGCGTGTACACATAAGGAAAAAAAAAACTTGTAGGAAGTTCATCAACAAATTAACAGTGGTTGCTTTGGACGGTGAGATTATGAGTAGTTTTTTTGCGTTTTAAAGTTTTCTGTATTTTCCAAATTTTTACAATAAGCTTATGCTGCTTGCGTAACTAGGAAAGAAAGTAGATGTATTTATTGGGTGATGATGATGGATACATTTAAAGTATTATCTACAAAGATGTTTGTGGTGAAGTTGTTTGTCAATAGGGAGAAATGAAAACAATTTGTATGTCCAGCCATAGGGGAATGGAAAAATAGTGGTTCCAGTGGATTATGAGGCAGCTTTAAAACTGATGATAGATGAGGTGGGAAAAAAAAAGGGCAGGTTACCAAAAATATATACATTGTACAACATAATTCCATAGTATGTATCTGGGCAAAGAAAACCCTGGAAATAGATGATCAAAATGATAAAAGAAGTTATCCCTGAAATGGGTTATAAATGACATCTATTCTCCTCTCTCAGCTCTTACCAATTTTCCGAGGTTTCTACTATTAATGCTTTCTTTTTGTAGTCAGAAAAAAATCAATATAGTGTATTGAAATTATATTAATTAACTTATTGTCAAGTAAAATCTTAATTCATTCGGAAAAAAGCCACCCACCATCCCACTTCCTTCCTTCCCATCCTCCCCAGCTTGGCCTCATTTCTGGAGTCCGGGCCCTCCTCTGTGCTCCCTTGCGGGGATGCGGCAGGGCTGCCAGTGGGTGGGGGAGGAGTGAGGCATTAAGTGCAGGTGGGAGGCTGACTTGTGCTCCTGGTCTCCAGGCAGAGGGGATGATCAGTGAGATCCGGACAGCTTTTGAGGAGGCCCTGGGACAGCTGGTTTGGATGGATGAGAAGACCCGCCAGGCAGCCAAGGAGAAAGTGAGCTGTGGCTGGGGTTGGGGCGCCATCTTGAGGTGGGGATGGAGGATAGTTTTATTGGGAGCTTAACCAGTAAACGGAGCCCTGGTGGCTCAGTGGTTAAGAGCTATGGCTGCTAAACAAAAGATCAGCAGTTTGAATCCACCAGCCACTCCTTGGAAACCCTATGGGGCAGTTTTCTTATGTCCTATAGGGTCACTATAAGTCAGAATCGACTTGACGACAGCGGGTTTTTAACCAGTTAACCACTGGCCTTCAATTTAATTCTGATTCATGGCGACACCTTGTGTGTCAGAGTAGAACTGCCCTTCATAGGGTTTTCGATGGCTGATTTCTTTGAAGTAGATTGCCAGGCCTTTCTTCCAAGGTGCCTCTGTGTGGACTCGAACCTCCAACCTTTCGGTTATCAGCCAAGCACGTTAACCGTTTGTACCACCCGGGGACTTCTGAAGAGGGTGAAACCCTTAACTTGGTCTCTTCAGGCAGACGCCATCTATGACATGATTGGCTTCCCTGACTTCATCCTGGAACCCAAGGAGCTGGATGATATTTATGACGGGGTGAGTACCTCTGCTCAGCGGTACTGAACTTCAGCTTTATGGAGGCAGGGTTCTCTGGGCTCAGTAATGGGGTACAAGCACTGAGAAGGAAGGAGGAGCTTGTGGGTTCTCAAGTGCCAATTCTGTGCCAGGCGGCAGCTGGACGACTGCACAATGCAATGCTTACGAGCCACGGATTTGGAGTCAAGCCTGAGTGAGATCCTGTTTCCACCCCGAAATAACTATGTAACCTTGGATAAGTTACATAATCTCACTGAACCTCAGTCTCTTTACCTGTAAAATGGGGATCCTGTTAGTCCCGTGGAGCTTGGTGGTGCAGTGGTTAAGAGCTCAGCTGCTAACCAAAAGGTCGGCAGTTCGAATCCACCAGCCGCTCCTTGGAAACCCCATGGGGCAGTTCTGCTCTGTCCTATAGGGTCACTAGGAGTCAGAATCAACTCAAGGGCACACAAACACCACCGCCTCATAGGGTTGTTGCTAAAAAGAGTCAGCGTATAAAAAAAAATACCATCTGCAACAGAAGTGCTCCTTAAACGTTGGCAGTTATTATTTCTTATCCCATATATGTGATGTCATTTAATCATTGCGATAGTACTGTGAGGTTGGTATTTCACTCCTACCTTATGGCTGAGGGAACTGAGGCTCAGAGAGGTGCTAATTAGCGGCCAAGCTGGGACTGTCAGACCCTTCAGCGTGTCCTCTGCATGCTCTCTCCTTCTGTCACTCTCATAGTATGATGTCTCTGAAGATTCCTTCTTCCAGAACATGCTGAATTTGTACAACTTCTCTGCCAAGGTGATGGCTGACCAGCTCCGCAAGCCTCCCAGCCGGGACCAGTGAGAATCGGGGGGCCGCAAGCATTTGGGGCAGTACGAGAGATGGGAGGAGGTTTCCGGGGCTGGGGGTGGGGGTGGCAAAACATCCTGGACCAGAGGTGAGAGGGGCGTTGGGAGGGTCAGGACCATCTGAGCTTCAGCCTCCCTGTCCCCCAGGTGGAGCATGACCCCCCAGACGGTGAATGCCTACTACCTTCCAACCAAGAACGAGATCGTCTTCCCTGCTGGCATCCTGCAGGCCCCCTTCTACGCCCGCAACCACCCCAAGTGTGTCTGAGGCAGGAGGAGCTGGGTGCTGGGGGCCTGAGCCTGCGGGCGAGCTGGGAGCAGGGCTGGAAGCGGGAGTCCGAGGTCTCCCTATCACGTCCTCATTCAGTATGCTTTGTCACCAGGGCCCTGAACTTTGGTGGCATTGGAGTGGTGATGGGCCACGAGTTGACACATGCCTTTGATGACCAAGGTAGGGCCCGTGGAGTTGTCCCTCAGGACCAGAATTCCCAGTGGCCCCTGCAAGGCCTTGGGTGTTGGGGGCTAGGCCCAAAAGCTGTTGAGTCTGTGGACCAGGGCCGATGGGGCCCTCCTGCCCAAAAGGGGTGAGGTCTGTCTTGGCGGGCTGCAAAGGTGAGTTCTCTCCAGGGCGTGAGTATGACAAGGAAGGGAACCTGCGGCCCTGGTGGCAGAATGAGTCCCTGGCGGCCTTCCGGAACCACACGGCCTGCATGGAGGAGCAGTACAGCCAGTACCAGGTCAACGGGGAGAGGCTTAACGGCCGCCAGACGCTGGGGGAGAACATCGCTGACAACGGGGGGCTTAAGGCTGCCTACAATGTGAGTGGCCTGGCCAGCCCTCTGGTGGCTGTCCAGTGGCTGAGGCCCAGCCACGTGGTGGGAAAGGGGCTGGGTGGAGGTGGGCAGGCCCTGATGGCCTTGCTGCCTGCTGTGCCCGGCCCAGGCTTACAAAGCGTGGCTGAGAAAGCACGGGGAGGAGCAGCAGCTGCCGGCTGTGGGGCTCACCAACCACCAGCTCTTCTTTGTGGGATTTGCCCAGGTACTGCCAGCCCTGGGAAGCCTGGGGTCTGCCCTTCTCTCCCACTTCCTCCTGCATGTGGGGTAGGAGGAAGTCTGGGGCGTGCAGGAGAGGGGCCGGGAAATGGGCTGCAGTGGGGGCGTGGAAGGTGGGCTGGGAAGGCCTCCTGCCCAGAGCCTCTCAGCTGGGAGGCGGCCTGAGCAGGGAGAACTCAGCAGGCTTTCACAGATCTCAAAGGGCAAGGCTGCCCTGCTTTAGGGGTGAGGGCTGGGGAGTCGGCCTTTGAACCTAACGTTCCTGTGAGTTAGGGCTGGTGGAGGAAGCTGAAGCTCGGGGAGGCAAAGTGGCTCCCACAGAGCACCCAGGATAAAGGAAATGGCGGAGCTGGGCCTCAGCCAGGGTCCTCTCTAGGTACTTGGCACCGTACCAGGCAGCCTCTGGGAGCTCTGCTTTCCCCCCTTAGACATGTTCATCCTGGCAACCCAATGTCCAGGGCAGCTCCGAAAGGCTTTGAAGGAGTTTGGGAGGGTGGGTGCATCCCCTCCCTTTGCTGACAGGGAAGGGGTTGGGGCAGAGACACTGGCTCAGCCCTCTTGCGGGGTCCCCAAGGCCTGGAGAGAGTGGGGCTAGAGCCCTCCTGAGCTGGGTGCTGGCTGAGCCCTCTCCCGGTCCCCCTGAGTCCTGGAGAAAGCAGGGCTAGAGCCCTCCTGAGCTGGGGGCTGGCTGAGCCCTCTCCCGGTCCCCCTGAGGCCTGGAGAAAGCAGGGCTAGAGCCCTGCTGAGCTGGGGGCTGGCTGAGCCCTCTCCCTGTCCCCCTGAGGGCTGGAGAAAGTGGGGCTAGAGCCCTCCTGAGCTGGGGGCTGGCTGAGCCCTCTCCCGGTCCCCCTGAGGCCTGGAGAAAGTGGGACGGGAGTCCTTCTAAGCTGGGTGCTGGCTGAGCCCTCTCCCGGTCCCCCTGAGGCCTGGAGAAAGCAGGGCTAGAGCCCTCCTGAGCTGGGGGCTGGGGCGGCGGTGGCCTGTGCCCTGGGGATGACTGCTGAAGCAGAGTCTCTGGCCTTGCCCACGCTGGACACCGTATGTTCCCGTCTCTGTCCTGGCCCACAGGTGTGGTGCTCAGTCCGCACACCAGAGAGCTCTCACGAGGGGCTGGTGACCGACCCCCACAGCCCTGCCCGCTTCCGCGTGCTGGGCACTCTCTCCAACTCCCGTGACTTCCTGCGGCACTTCGGCTGCCCTGTCGGCTCCCCCATGAACCCGGGGCAGCTGTGCGAGGTGTGGTAGACGTGGGTGGGGGGCAGAGGCGGTCATCTGTTTGCTCTGGGGCTAGGAGAAGGCAAAGGCAGGCTGGGCCAGGTGCAGCCCGTGCACACCACAGGTGACATGTTCCAGTCCCTCAACCGCCACATTGTGCCTCTGCCTCGGGGGTGCCCCTGCTTCCAGCAGGGCCTCCACCACTCACTGTGACATCTCTCCGTGTCACCCTGTCTGGGTATCCACGTGAAGGAGGCCTCGGGGAGGGGAACCAGCTCCCACAGGAAGGAGTCCACCTCTTCTGGTGCCAGGCTCGCTGGCTTGGTGGCCCCGGGGCCTGTCGTGGCTGCCCACTCTACCAGACAGAGCCTGGGTGCTGTGCCTCCCAGACTTCCCCTGAGACTCGCCCAGCACCCTCTCGGGAGTAGCCTCAGCTACCTGCAGCCCCACCTCAGGGGCTGCCCCCCGTGCTCCCCATGCTGCTGCTCCCCGTACTGCTGCCACCCCCCACTGACAGCCCAGCTGTGCTTGGTTCTCAGTGGAAGCCGAGGGCCTGTATAAACCTGCCTCCTGCCTCCCTGGGCCGAGGGGATGTGTGCACAAGGCATGCTGGCACCTGTGTCTTAGGCCACACGTCTCAGGGGTGACTGATTCTCCCCGGACCAAGAGAGCAAGCAGATAAAGCAGGGAGTGGGAAAGATAGAGTTTATTTTTACATGGAAGCAGGTGGGGAGGGAGGGCCTTGGCCCTGTAGGACCCTGTGCCAATAAACAAACACCCATCAGTCAGCCTGTCTCGTCTTCAGTCCTGGTCTCATTTATTCATTTACGCATCCCACCGCTATTTACTGAGCACCTGCATATACCGAGCATCTGCTAGACACTCTTGACTCACTCACCAGACACAGGGGATTGAGATCTGAAGGCCAGAGAAGACAGAGAGGCGGCGGGCGGGGAATGGGATGATGCTGAATCTGCTTACTGTGGCCATTTCCCCACGGCCGGCTACTCCGCAGCTACTGGTGCGTGCTGGACCCGACAGGGTCTGGATGACTACTGGGCCAGGGTCGGCTTTGAAGTGGGTGACCCGCACTTACCCTGCAGTGGAGGGAAGTCCCGGCCAAGGGAGCATGCCACTCCCTGGAGCTTGAAGCACCAGTGTCTGCTGGCAGCCGAGAGGACAAGCATTTCCCCGCGGCCTCCAGGCCCAGCACTCCCGAGTCACTCCCACCTACACACACTCAGGCGCCAGGCGCGGGGCCTGCAAATGCGGCTGCCCCTCTCCAGCGCGAGGGAGGGAAAACAAGCACTGACGGGACACCTCTTGTGTTCCAGGCCCCAGGCTAGGCGGTTCCTTCCTTCCTTCATTTCTATGCTCATAGGTGTCTTATTTTTTTAGTGTACTGACGACCAGTGATGTGCCAGGCACTGATGATACAAGGACGGATAATATGGTGCCTCCCGTCAGGCTCTCTTCGTGAGCTCACTGAATCCTCGGCAGCCGTGTTTTAGAAGGGCTCTCGTTTCCACCTTACAGACCTAACCTTAGCCACATTATTGCAGACAAACAGACCTCTGCTGGTTGTCTGAGCTCGAATCTGTTACCTAACTTCTATGAACCTCAGGCTCTTCATCCGTAAAAGGAGAACTAGAGTAGAACAATGGAAAGAGTCCAGTCTCGATTGTCTTTAAAACTTGATATCCCCCAAGGTGTGGGAAGGCATGGGTTTGCTGAGTCTGGAAGGGGAGGAGTGGAATGTTGGCAGTGACTGCCGGAGAGGTCCCTGGTCTCTGTGATGGCACTGGTGGGTGTCCCATAGCCTGAATCCTGCCCCAGCTCTTCAGGGCATCAGGCGGTCCCCATAAAGAGCTGCGTGTGGGCCTCTGTCATGTCCCCTGAAGTGCTGACTGCTCAGTGAGGACAGGAAATCGCTGGCTCCTCAGGAGCAAAGCCACCTCTGGACCTCCAAGACCAAGGAGAAGCATGGCCTGAGCCTCTGACCGCACAGCTGCAGGAGGAGCAGCTGGGAAGAGCAGGGCCATCACACCTGGCCACCTGCTGCTCCTCCTCCATGTGACGCTAGGCAGGGCTCGCCCCCTCTGTAGGTCTCAGTATCCTCAGCGGTCTGTCCAATAAAAGGGTTAGATGAGATGATTGGTGAGGACCACCCCAGCTTTCATGTTTTAAGAGGTGGATTGATGGGCTCGGCAAATTCCAGAACCTGACAAGATATTAAGAAGACTTCTAAAGTTTGGCTGTTAGACAGAGGATGGGATTTGTAATATCAGAGGGCATCCGGACTGAGAAAAGGGGCTTGGCAGAAGACGCCTTACCTTCCCTTGACACTGATTTCAGAGGCCAGCTTGGCCCCCCAACCAGAAACTGGACGTCCAACGTGGTCTTCAAACTCCTTATTTTCGATAAAGTCAAGACACCAAATGACAATAAAAATAACAAGCAGCTTTCACTCACTGAGTCTTCGCTTTGCTTAAGCCTGCGCTAAGCACTTTAAAAACACCATCTCATTAAATTGCCACAACTCATTAGTTCTATCGGCATCCCCATCTTATACCTGAAAAAACTTAGAAAAAAGATTATATAACTTCGTGTCAGGACACATCCATTAAAGTCAGGCTGGCACTCTCGTCCACATGTTCTCAAGCACCGTCGTTACAGTCTTCTGACTCATGGCAGACTTTAGACTCAGGCGCTGACACCAGGCTTCTGAGTGGGACTGCCACCAGCAAGAGCACTTCTGTGCCACACAGCTCCCCTGGGCCACGTACATGTGACCAGCAGGCAGCTGCAGGAAGCCTAAGCACCTGTGGAGCTGAAATTAAGCCAGGTCACCCATTGCCACTGAGTTGATTCCAACTCATTGCGACCCTACAGGACAGAGTAGAACTGGGCCAGAGGGTTTCCAAAGAGCGGCTGGTGGATTCGAACTGCCAACCTTTTAGTCAGCAGCCAAGCTCTTAACCACTGCACCACCAGGGCTCTGTAGGACAGGGTAGAACTGCCCCATAGGGTTAGCAGGTAGCACCTGTTGATTGACCATTCTGAGGGTGCATGGTTCCAGGGGTGAAGCAAGGTGAATGTCAGGTGGGAGATGCAACCTTCACCCTCAGTAGCCCTAACAGGATGACTTTTCATCAGTGATACAATCCAGAGAGTTGAGGCGGAAGGGGGAATAAAGGATGGTGGTCCTGGAGGGACACGAAAGCATTGTTGGTAAAGTGCTAGGCCATACCCTGCCCTGTCCCATGAGGAAGCTTCACTAATTCTCACAAAATAAGGTGACATATGCCCAGCAGTGTGATCCCACCTTGGCAGCACTCTGGGTATGTTAGGCTGGAAGAGTCCCCCATAAAATAAGCACAGTTTCCGGGGGTCTATCCTGGCTCACAAATCCTGAAGACAATTCCCCAGTGCTCAGATCTGGACCCAAAGAGAGCCTCTGATGGGTTATTATACACAAAGTTGACCTGAAGAGGAATGCAAAGCCACTCAATCATTCATCCAACAAGTATTCGTCAAGGCCTACCACAAACCAGGCATCACGCTGGGTGCACGGGCACAAAGATGAGGAAGACACCGCTCCTGTCCTCCAGGAGCTCAGCATCTAGGGCAAGAGAATCAGGTACCAAGGATAGCCGGAGTCCCTGTGTGGCACAAATGGTTAAGTGCTGCACTACTAACAGAAAGGCTGGGGGTTCAAACACATCCAGAGGCTCCTTGGAAATAAGGCCCGGTGATCTGCTTCCAAAAGCTCATAGCCTTGAAACCCTACGAAACGGTTCCACTCTGCACACACGGGGTTGCCATGAGTCAGAACTGACTCGAAGGCAACTAACTACAACGTGGTGGCAGCAGAGAGATGGCCAGCTTGGTCTGATAGGGCAGGGAAAGCTTCCTAGAGGTGTCTTCGAGCTGGAGCTTAGAGGATGGGAAAATTTGCTAGCTGAAAACAGCAAAGGGCATTCCACACAGAAGGAATAGCAATATGAAAAGCCTGATCGGCTTGAAGGGCAGGGCATGTTCAGAAATAGTGAAATGTTTAGGATGATCGGAAAGGGGTGAGTGAAAGAGGCATGATGATAGCTGAGTGTCCTGCAAAGGGCAGTAGTTGCTGTAGGTATGAAAAAGGGGAGACTGTGACATGCTGTCAGTCCTGAGAACCGACGGGAAGAAGGGCCACAGTGCAATCTAGCTGCTTGAAGAATATCACACAAAGAAACCCAGTGGAAACCGTGTGGTGATGTGCCCCACCAGGGGCGCTTTTGCTGTGATGCTGGCCATGACTTTGGGTTGGGTGGGTCTCCAATGAGTAGAACCATCCACAAGATGTGTACCTCTATAGCTCAGGCCATAGTTTGGGGGCAACATGGCAGGTTTATAGATGCAATCTGAAGGAAGATGGACGAAAGGGTCGGTTATGGGTGGGCCCGTGTTTGGAGAGCAGTTTGGCCGCATGACTGGGGGTTTGGCCAAATGGTAAGAGGGAGTGCTCACGGGGGGACGGTTTGGCTGAAATGGAGCTTGAGGCAGGACTTCAATGGGAGGTGAGAAAAGATCTGCAGGTTATCATGGGGCTTTGGGTGCCTTTAACAAACAGAAATTTATTTTCTCACAGTTTAGGAAGCTAGAAGTCCAAATTCAGGGCGCCAGCTCTAGGGGAAGGCTTTCTTTCTCTGTCAACTCTGGGGGAGGGTCCTTGTCTTTTCAGCTTCTGTTTCCTGGTTCCTTGGAGATCTACATGTGGCTTGACATCTATCTTCCCCGATCTCAGCTTGCTCCTTTTATATCTTGTAAGAGATTGACTCAAGATACACCCTATACTAATTCTGCCCCATTAACACAACAAAGACAACCCGTTCCCAAATGGGATTATAACCACAGGCATAGAGGTTACGATTTACAACACAGATTTTTGGGGGACACAATTCAATCCATAACATTCAGATCTGAGGTAGTTGGAAAACAGAATGACAACCAGCCTCTTCTCTAATTGCCCGGCACCCAGTTAGGTACTTTGT